AAGCGAAGTATCATCTACCATGTATTCAATTGTGAAAGCAGAATAACATCTTTATTACTTCAAAGAAAAATAAATTTCGGCATAAATGACCCATAAGTAGTTGATATGTCGTTAAACAGACAAATTATTTTGGGAATGCCAAATTATTCAATTTCTGATTTCCTTAATGCTTTGCTTGGCTTTTAGAAGGCATTTTTATGTTAGCCTTTCTATATTAATTGGGCTTACGGGTAGACCACGTTGAAACACTGGTTCTCGTACTATAACCTAAATTAAGTAACGACGTACCATACCGAGATAGGTGATTGCTACGGAATACCATGTTCTGTAAGTTTAGATGTGCAGGTGGTGTAATGGGTAACGGCTCAAAATTAGAGATAGGAGAACCGAGTTCTAATTCCGGTCAGGTTTGTTACATTCACTTACGCTCAAATAACCTTGGTAAAGGTATGAATCCAATGCTCTTCACATCTAATTATCAGTAAATCATTATCTCCAAAATTTATTACACTCTAAACATATTTTCTGGCTTTGAATAACCTACAAAAGGTTCATGAGTCATAAAAAACGAACAGTCTATACTAATTACTATGAAGAACAAGTCCATAATTTTTTTCCATATTTTAAATTAAACCGGTTATTTAATTCGTATTTGTTGGATAACTGGTTTCATGCCTTACACAAGATGAAATTGTACGGAACAGACTAGTCGGAAATTTTATCTGCTTGCCGATTCCACTTACGGCGCGGACAACCTTTACCATAATCGCACATTCAACTAACATCTCCACCTCTTTTATTCCATTACATTCTGTTGGGTAGTATGGGGCTATCCGCTGTACTTTCCATAAAAAAATAAGGTTTTACGGGATGAATTTATTATCCTCATACCCAACCGATTTTAAGTTATAGTACCCGGTTGTTCCGAAGCGTTTATTCGTCTAAATACTGGCCAGGTTCAACACTGCTTAACTTGGACCGTAAGTCCTCACAACTTTTACTGCGTTATTAATCAGTAAGCGATTCAGCATTGACTAATCAAGAAAACAAAGTTTGATTAGATGACCTAGTTCGTAGTTCGACCCACACACCGCGAGGAGACAGTTCGACCTTTAATTGATTGACCCATACTTGGACTCTTCTGCGAAAAATATTCAACTACAAATTCATGCAAACTAAAAGGATAATGAAAGCTTTATATCTAAATTTAGAAAACACTTATCTCAGCAATTGACATCTATCCAATTCACATGTCTAAAAACTGGTTATAATTGTATATAATGGAAATATTCGCTTGAGATGAATAGCATTGAATCAAATGTCATAATCTTTGCTTTTTTATTACCATATCTATTAAGGTCGCGAGATGGGTGATAGATAACGAGTCGGAATGAGAAATCGAAGAGCCGAGTTTGAATTCGTTGAGATCGTTACGCGAAAATACCATTGATAAAAGTTATGAATCTTTCTCTTCTCTCCACTACCCCGATGGCTCTAGGTTGAATAGCAAGACAGACTAAGTCCTATAACCTAGTTTGCCAACCAGTCTACCACAGACAACACCCCCAAAAACAAAAAAAAAACACAAACAAAAAAAAACACAAAAACAACAAAAAAAAACACACAAAAACAACAAAAAAAACACACAAAAACAACAAAAAAAACACAAAAACAACAAAAAAAACACAAAAACAACAAAAAAAACAAAAAGAAGACAAAGACAAAAAACAAGACAAAAAACAAGACAAAGACAAAAAACAAAAAACAAAAAAAAACAAGACAAAGACAAAAAAAAAACAAAGACAAAAAATAAAAACAAAAAAACAAAACAAAAAACAGAAAACCAAAAAAACTAAAAACGCAATAAAAAACACAGACACCAAAAAACAAACAAAAACAAACAAAGATACAAAAAATCAAGAAACAAAAAATCAAGAAACAAAAAACAAAAATAATAAAAACAAAAAAAACAAAAACAAAAAAAAAAAACAAAAACAAAAAAAAACAAAAAACAAAAAATAACCCCAAAAATCTGCTTGTCTGCTCTAGCAAATCTGCCTCGTCAGTTATGAATCGAACAAAATCGCCCAAGCATGCGTGTTTCAAGTATGACGCTTAACTTGACCTATTCTGGTCGTACCTCCACTTCCTTTTCATTATTTCTGAGTTGCCTTAACGTCTCATGCGCAAAAATAGTGTATTTTACCGTTGCCCTCTCAGACTTGTTACCACCCAAGGCTAGAGTACCCGTGCAACCTATAGCTGGTCGGAAGAAGAGATTAAATTTCTCCTTAGACAGGGACAGATTACACCGGAATTGAACTCAGCATGCCGATTCTCATTTTCACGTTAATGACCATTACATTGTCGATTAACATTGGGTGGACAAAGTATAAAAATAAATTCATACCTACAGAATCAACATCAAATAAGGAAATCGCCTACAACTATGATACAGAAAAAAAAAAAAAAATAATCTGTAAAAAGAGTTATTTCATTTTTCTTAGCAGTTGTAATGCAGACAGGGAACTTATTTTTATAATTAAAAAAATAACCATGACACACCGACAGATCTAGCAGAAAATTTCTATAGACTTGAAAAAAATATCAATTTACCGACTTTCTTTTTTAGCTCGAGTCACGAATATTTATGCATCACTGTTTATTGTTCTGTAATCATTTTTGCTAACAACTCTTTTCAGATTGCCTCGTCAACAAAATGTTCAATGGTTGCAATAAAATGAATGATTTAAAAAAAAAATACATACCTTTAATAGAGAACCATGGATGACAATTTCGTATATGAAAAAGAAAACAAGAGAAAAAAATATTTATTAGAAAGGTAGCTCATTATCCAGTGTAAGAAAAACAATTTTAGATTCTTTGTAATTAAAACTTTAGATTTAGATTCAAACATGCGTAACTTTTATTCCAACTCGAATCTATTGATTGCTTTTATTCCGCAGTTTCGTCGGATTTTCTAGAGTGGTTTTTCCAGCGGATTTGGAATTAATTCTTTTAGTTTCAAACGCAGAAACAAGTGACATGGGCAACAAAATTTCAAAACGTGAAGAAATGCGTAAAAGAAATTAAATGAAAATGTCTGTAAAAATTTTTGAGCACTTTGTCAGTATTTCCACGGAACACTGATAGCAGCGAAACTGCTACACATATGAATAACAACCAACATCTCATTAATGCGCCCTAAACCACCGTAAAATCCAGAATTTATTATACATTACTAAAAAGAATGTTTTAATCAGATTCACAGAAAAACTCAATAGCAATTATAGAGTGACTGGAAATAAAATCCGTCGTGAGGTTTTTTATAACTGTCTAGTATCAATTATAGATTTCTTTAAAATGAAAATATATTCTGTGTTATAGTTTTCAACATATATGAACAGTTTTTTCGAAAAATGAGCATAAATAGTTTAATTCGTAAATATAAATACTCTCTCACACTATATATATATATATATATATATATATATATATATATATATATTTCTTTTCATTTGTATGGATATGAGTTTGTGACACGGGTTTCACGCTTTTGCAATCAGACAAACTGGTTTATTTTTTTACAAAATTGAATCTATTTATTTATTTTTTTTGTGTTTGACTGTTTGGTGGAGGGGGGTGGAAATCCTCTTCTGTGTCCGTTTTGGGGTCACACTCTTACACACACACACACACACACAAACATACCCACATAAACAAGTCGAGATTAGGTTTTTACATATATGCATATTATATATGAATTTATTCGAGCCCATTGACACGATGTGAAAATCGGTAAATTGATTTTAAAAACCTTCAGGAATTCATGAATTTTAAACCTCACCGCTTATTGTGACTGTCCTGAAACTAAGCTAAGCTTATTAAATATTCATCCTTGCTTTTAGTTTATAGTCCTTTCGGAATTGCCTCATAAAAATTTCAAGTTTTCCATTACATAGTAAAACTCGGGCCGACAAGAAGATCGGACAGCTATCCCAGCGGAACTATGGAAGAAGAAAAACGAAAGCATTTGTATTGAACAACATTTATTTTTTTTTTATCTTCAACCATCTTGTCTTTGCAGTTAATCCAATGCCTTTTCATTAAACAGGGTCTCGAGAATTAAACTATCAATTTTAAATCAAACTAATTCGTAACAGTCAGGCTATGGCCGACTAAAATATTCCGTCGGATGTTAATACTTTATTTTCACCCCGACCAACTACATGCACACCTTAGCCCTTCTACCACATGCAATCACTTTTTCCACACTTCTTCCTAATGCAACCGGATTTTTGCCTAATTACATTGCAGTAGTCATCTGCAGATCACATCAAACGAACATCCATTTCAAATAAGCGGATCTCCATAAGAATTTTAAAAGCTTTCTTTTCGTCAAAACAGGAGGAAGGCATTTTATTTAAGATCAAAATAAATCCGATTTACAAACTCGATTACAATGTTAAATTTAAAAAAAATGGTAAACTCATCGATATTGTGATATTTTAATTTTCATCATCAGTGCAGTAAAATTTTTATTAAAAACAGTAGTGTCAATTAAACAAAGAATTTTATAACGGAACTATTTAACCTCCAATTTTCTTCATTTAAGAACAGGAATTAAAAAATAATACTAAGGGTTCTTTACGGATTCATTTTTATAGATTATCAACCATTTTCAGGTTATTTATATTAGTATTATTTTTTTACTTCCTGTTCTTAAATAAAGAAAATTGGAGGTTAGTTTCGTTATAAAATTCCAGAAAAGCCAGAAAATATTTTTAGATAGAAATAATTGTTTGTAGGGAATATCAATGATTTAGTCTTACTAAATAACCCATAGCTCTGTGTGTGGGGTTGAGAAGAGGTTGATTCATACAGTTTTGCCTAAGGATATCATCTTGTAAATGAATGTAACGAACCCAACTGGAATTCGAACTCGGCTCTCCTATTAACAATTCAGAGCCGTTATCCATTACACCACTCGCACATTCAAGCTTACAGCACATGGCCTTCCAAAGGTGGTCACCCATCTAGGTACTGACCAGGCTCGATGTTGCTTCACATCGGTGATCGTATGGGAACTGCTGTTTCAACGTTAAGTGGCTAGGAGCTGAAAGCAAAAATAATTGTTGCAGTCTAAAATCTACTTGTCAAATCAGTTGAAAGCATTAATTAAAGATGCCCTTGAAAAACTCCATTTTTTTTTTTTTTACTTCAAACGAGCAAATTGCTTGAAATCTCTTAGCCCGACGCTATCTGTTTATAAATCGGAAATTAAAGCTGACAATGTATCTGTTCACTAAAACGAGAATGATTCTGCGTAGAGTTGTTTAGCCAACATTTAATCCCGACTGTTGAAAAAGGTTTTTCCGTCCACTGTAAGACCTTATTTCTGAGTTAATACAATTCGCTTTGCTGAATGACAGGGTCTTATTTTCTGTTGATATTGCACAGATTAAAACGACTCTACGAACTGACTACTAGTCTTGTAGTTGGCCTTATGAACCTTAGCTCAAAGCCATCCTCAGTATTGAACCTTAGCTCAAAGCCATCCTCAGTATTGAACCTTAATTTTGTTTGTGCCTCAGTTTTGAACCTTAGCTCAAAGCCATCCTCAGTATTGAACCTTTTTCATTTTGCCATCCTCAGTATTGAACCTTAGCTCAAAGCCATCCTCAGTATTGAACCTTAGCTCAAAGCCATCCTCAGTATTGAACCTTAGCTCAAAGCCATCCTCAGTATTGAACCTTAGCTCAAAGCCATCCTCAGTATTGAACCTTAGCTCAAAGCCATCCTCAGTATGAGCAAATTTGTTTAACCACTACCCAAGATTTCTTGTAACATGAACAGATGTTAAAAAAATAATCAGATATACCTTGCGAGTCATGTTTAACAAAACAATCTAAAGAGGAATTGCCGTCAAAATACAGGGTGCAATCGGTAAATTGTCTCCATTTTATATTTTTAATTTCGCCCATGAGCGTTGTTTTTTATTTTGTCGACTACACAGTATAATAAGGTCAGTTGGGTACCTTCTGCGAGATAAAAAGCAGAATGACGCAATTCATTCTACCAAAAAATAGAATACAACATTCTGTACAACTTGGCATTAGTAACGGAAGCTCCAATACGAACATTTCAAAGTATTTTATTTCAAATCCATGAGGACAGTAACAATTTACAGTATTCAGAAAGAGTTGAACGTATCTAATGATGATTACTATTCCACGGCATCCCATCTCCTTCAGATCGTTCTTTTTTAAAAGTATATGGAATTTGTTGGTTGGATTCAAAAATTGACAATTCCATCCCTTATTTTCAATCAAATTTATATTTGCAGGGACACAGGAGTGTGTTAGTTTTTTTTTTTTATCAGGCGGTTAGTGCATGAAGATATATGAGAAAAGGACTATTTTCATCCGAAGCCATAAAGGAGAAAAGGAAAGACCACATTACGAAGTTTTTGAACAAAGTCAAACAACCCCTGCAACCGAACATGTTTTTTTAAGACAAGAAACATTTCTGTCAATATTTGAACGCAATTTTTTCCATTCCCTTGTTTTGTCCAAGTAAAAAGATGTACCTTTTAATGAAAACAAAATATCCATTAAAACCGATGGTGACGTTATTCCTTGCTTTTAATCTTCCCAATGAGCTTCAGATAAATAACACTGGTTTTTCCTTATCAAGTTCCTTTGGAAAAATACCTTTTTATTCTTCAAGAGGGTTCTCCCTGGAAGAACCTATGCCTGGTAACAGGATACTACAACCATTAAAACATTTTAAAGTATCATGGTTTTTCAAAATTTTGCGACCGCATCACCTTTTATACCTACCACCCAAATACCCATGATTTCAATTCACTTGATTATTATTGTTTTCCTCAAGAAAAACCTTTCGAGAGATTAAATACCAACTCTTTGTAACAAAGATGAATAGAAGGCAAGCATTATGTCAGCATTCACCAACTTAAACAAGGAGACAATCCAGAAGAGTTGCAGAAGATTTTAAGTCTTGTCATCTTTATCATGCCAATTTACCAATGGTTTCATTTTATTTAAGAAATTTACTCCTTAGTATTTCGAGATATTTTTGTATACCTTTGGTAAATACATCTGTTAAAATGAGATGTCAATGTTATTTTCATTTTTGCGGAATTTAGACGACAATTTATCCATCACGTCCTGTATATATTTGTATATTCTCTGTGTTCGTAGAAGTGGTTCGGGAGGAAAATCCTATAGTAATTCAGAATGGAAAAAAAACAAAACTGAATCCAACATTTGCATTTTTCCAGAAACTTTTTTTATCTGAAAAAACAACAATTCCTTGGTTTACCAGTGGGCTCCAGCTTCCTGCTTTGAAGAAGATTATGATATAATTTACAAATCCAAGACGCATTCTTAAGATCATTGTGGCCATTGTCTCACGAGATGGATAGACACCAACAATCAATCCGTACATGTTTTTTTTTAAAAAATGAAAAAACTTTAAAACCATTTTGTTTCATCGGTCCAATGAGTTCTGTTTGGTAAAGTCATTAAAGGAGCTGAAAATTCCTTAAAAAATTTCCCAACAAATCTGGGTAGAAATTTCTTAGGTCAATCTGTTATTTTTAATACTTCTTTATTCAAATTCATTTTTTAACCAATTGCCCTATTTAAGTCATTATTTATTTTTTATTGAATTAAGTCTAACCTTATTTATCATTTTAATCAGAACGTCGATTCCATAAAGAGAACTCTTGTCATTATATTTTATTTTTAATCGAGGAAAAATTCCACTTTTGTCCTCGATTGATGTCTGAAGAGCGAGGAGAGATAAATGCCTAGATTATATATATCTATATAAAATTTTTATTAACAACTTTGTTGAGTATTATATCTGTATAATGAATGCGAATGTACCATTTTCGAATCAGGCCGACTCCGCGAACAAATTAAAAACATTCCGAGCTGAATTCCGACTCGCAATCCTGAAATTTTATATTCTCAAGCTTTCGTTCCTGCGATTGTTTTTGGTGATTTTTTGTGACGAATTCTTTTGGTACGATAACATTTTTTATAACTTGGAAATACCGAAATTAATTGCGAAATCCATAGAAAGTCAACTATGAAATAAAAATAATTGTTTATACGGAAATTAATAACGAAAGTACAAAAAATTGTCTTTAAATTAAGTGGTGACAGAAGAATTATCGTTGAACTTTTAAAAGGTAATTTTAAATATTAATGTAGGTACCTCCACGAGATCGCTAAAAAAGAGCATAGCATGATGAAAAAGACGCCAAACTTGACGAAAACAAAATTTTATCGTCTAAATGTTTGTTATTCATTAAGAGGAAAGGTCAAAGTATTTTTGGGGTATTTTTTCCCATTTTTTAATCGTTCCTAGCACGTCCGAAATTTTCGTTAAAAATCTAGTTTTTTTTGAGTCAGCAAAATTGACCATTTTTTTCCATTTTAAAAAAAAAACTGGAAATCTGACTTTGAAATTTTTTTAAATATCAATTATCATTTTTTCAAAACTTATTTTAAGAAAATCAGAAATTATAATGTTTATTTAAAATATTTTGAACCAAACTTAACTTAGCTTTTTTGCCAAAAAAGATGTAATTTGAAAATAAAACAAAGCAGGTCATAAACTTTCGCGTCTCTTGACATGTGATGAATGATATATTTACGAATTCCATGAGGCTAATTTGTTCTACGGAAGGAGAAAAGTGAAATAATTTACATTTACGTGAACAAATTATTTACCCCGTTATTTTTAACGAAAACTTTCAGCGGTCTAATTTTTTTTTTTTTTTTTTTGTACTTAGCTTTCACCTTTACGTTTATGATGCTTTATGGGAAATATATTCTAAAGAAATTAAAATAAAACTGTTAAGAGTGACATTAAATTTCATATTTCTTAAGAAAGGTATCTAATTAATTTATAGGTACCTTTCTTATGAAATTTTATCAGAATTGTACATAAAATACTATAATTTTATGTACATTTATTACATTCTACTGTTATTTGTATTTGCATTCATTTTATTATTAATTTTGATATTTCATTTATGGAAAAATGTCGTAACTGAGATTAATATAAAAATAAGATCATATAAATTTCATAAGATGATACTGATACTTGTAGGTAACCTTCTCAGTTGAAATTGAAAATCAAATTAACTTCTCCACACGTGTTTCGCAAAAGTAAAGGCCTTAACAGCGGAGAACAATGCTTAACTCAAATAACGCAACTTAATTATATTCTGGTTGGTCTTCCGTATTTTATAATTACAGCTCGATTATAAGCACAAAATTACATTTCTTAATTACTGGGGATCTTCTGATTAGTCAAAATGATACAATTTACAACGCGCTAAAAAAGATCTATCTCATAAGGACACTTATGAAAGCCTGTGCGGCTTTTTTTAACTAATTTTATAATATTTTAACAACTTAAATGTAAAATCTATTATAATTAATGAAATAACAAATAATTGTATTAAAAAATTCATTTTTCATCGAAAAAATTTTTTTGCTTTCAGAAAATATTGTCCATATTCATAAAAACAACTAAAAGCAAATAAAAGCATTTGAAATTAAATAATATCTTTGTTTTATTGAGTTTTGTATGTTACAATTCAGAGCTGATTTTCAGGTACTGGGTCCCAATTAAAAACAAAAAAAAAAAACATGATTTGCATTCCTCAAAGCCCTGTGCTTTTAATTATTGTAATCACTAAAACCGATGCGATCGAATTTCTAGCGTTTTCATAAAATTAGTTATGGGGGGGTAATAAATATTTTTAAAAATATTTCTACCATGACTTTCAAAAAAAAAAAATATTTATAATAATTTCGATCATCTGTGAATAGTTCCTGAAAGTTTCATTAACATCCGATAATTATTTCTATTTTTGCACGATTTTTCAAATTAATGTGTCATACCAAAAAAAACGTGCTAAAAATTGTCTATGTTATTTACTAGTTCCGCTGATACAAATAGAAACAAGGTTTTTTTTTAATCAAAATTTAGAATTTTCTAAAAAGAAGGAAAATTTTTTAAAAATAATTAAAAAAACTTTGGTCTTTCCTCTAAATA